AAATAATATTCTGTTTGACAAAGATGTTTTACGTCTTGTCACGAGCGTGGGACAAAGAAAAAGTTCTGAGTCCCCATGAGGAATCGAACCTCAGACCTTCGGATTCCGCGCTCCAATGCTCTACCACTGAACTATAGAGACTGTGCGGGGAGCGAGGTCTATTACGAAGTTCCTATGACAAGTCAGGCGTCCTGCATACTGCTCAGATCGATAGCGTCGTGTTTGTAAATAGAAGAGGAGAGATGGTAAGTTTTGAGCTCGGTAAAGTAATAGAGCTCGGTAGAGAAATGGAGAAACATTTTGATACTTCCAGCTATATAATATGCAAATCGAAATACTCTCAGAGTAAATTGGATATTCTTTAATAAAACGCGCAATTTTGCTAAGAATCTCTAAAGGCAATAATTTGGTGGATATTTATGATATTGGCCGGTATTTTTTTCCTGAGTAAGTCGCTAGTCATAAACAAAAAGCTCCTTTAAAATATCGATGCCAATATCTGGCCACTTTGACCACAAAGGCGTCGTCAATAAAGAGAGTAAGGCCAATAGTCCCCCCCACCCCCTCCCCCATGAATAATAAGAGGCTTTGGAGTAATTAACTCGTCGCGATTTTCTTGTTTTTGAGACGTACGGTTCCGTTCAATAAAGTTAAACATAAACATGGATAATATAGTCATGAAGTTATAACTAATTATAAGTAATTATGATGATAAAAGTTTCCCAGTCGTGGCAATTTGAATATATAAACGCCAAAATCTTGTAACCCTTTTAGGTGTAATTTAAAATAAGCATTTTACCGAAAGAAGGGCGATAGCGCTTCGCAAAAGACGAACACTTAAAACTGCAACGAAGCTCAGACGAAGCGAACGACAACAGTTGAAATCCCAATCCATTTTTGTTTTAGGATTTAACTCCAGGACTTTATGACATATTTCCAAAAGAGGGAGACCCGAGCTGGAGACAGACAGAGTACATATTCATTTAAGAATTGATTAATAATACTTACTGGATGAAAGTCGCAAGAATCTGCCAGTTGTTTGCAACACGCTACCGTATTTCAGGAACGAAACTGTGTTGCAGTTATCGTTAGTAGAGATCCGTGATGTTTAAATAACTCTCATGAAAACATTATTGGATTTTTCGAACGGTATTGCTTCCTTTTTGAAAAAGTCTCTGAACGTTTTGAATTTCCGTGGAAAATACAGCGAATTTGAATAACTTAGGCCCAAATAATTTGGCTGGATGCAAGTGTTTTTTTGTTAAGTGTCCGCGTTCCATTAAAAAACACACTCAATGTACTTGATAATGCCAATATATCAGGCCATGTTGGCCAAAGAGGCGTGGTGAGAAGGAAGAGTATGAAAATAATTGTAAAATGATTGGACATAGCGCTTCGAGATTGTTGGCATCATTTTTATTAAGCAATGTGTCGTCAAATATTAAAATTATATGACAATTCAAGCAATCAGACTTGGATTACGTAGCAATTTTAACATCATTGGCTAAGTGAGTCCTAAACGGTGGCTGTCCCACAATACAAGTGATGCTAGGATTAATAAAAGTTTTATTGAACCTTCCAGAGTGTCGCACTCTTGTAAAAGTTAGCATGATTTTTTTCTCTTTTAGAAACGAGATCGCTCCTGTTTTATACTTTCAGCAAAGGTAAAAGACTTTCTAGAAAAAAGCCGACGTTTAATTGCCTGCGGCGCGACCTGCCAAGACGTAACACTTGATGCGTGCAAACAATTTAAGTCTGGAAAAAAAATAATTCGGTTTTAGTACATTAAAAGTAAAAAAAGACGACGCAAACAAACAAAAGGGTTAAAAAGAAAACTCGAAAGAACGAGAATGGTCAAGAATTGCGGTGATAAAAACCGACTCTAATAGTCATTAAAAAGTTCACCCAACCATAACTGATCAAGTTCTTTGTTTGATCAAGTTTGTGAATTTGTAATTGCTCTAGAACCTTTGTTAACTTTCTAGCGCTAAGACGCCTGACTTCCCACGAGGTAAACAAAAGATTATAGAAAAAAAAGTATTTTCAACAGCTATACGATTTCAAAGAAAACATTTTTGCTCTCATTCAGCACTCAAGCCTTTCTGGTAGGAGCTGTTACACATTTCGATATTGGACAAACTTAATTGAAAAGAATCTTTCCTTTAAAAGGGTAATGATTGTCGGCTATTCATTTTTCCCTAAATAGCCACCTTTGAAATCTTAGAATTGTACCATCCTACCTCACCAATATCATACAGAACGACAGTAAATTTTATAAATTTGGATTTTTAGACGCCCTGGCCAATTTGAAGAAGCAAATAAAGCGTTGAAAAAATCAGTCAATGATTGATCAAAAATTCAATTCTCTTCCTTGACAAGGCATTTGTGATAACAGTGTGACGAGTGTACATTTTTGTTGCGATGGGCATTTGGACCATTCGCACCATTTGATAAAGGATATAATCTTATTTGGAATAAAAAGAATTACTACTAAGCCTTTCGTGGATAGCTCGAGGTCTGAGTTCCTCATGTCATTCTTAACCCTATAATCCCAGAGAGTGACTAACATCTAATTTCTCCTTTCAATATCATCCCTGAATCAAACATTAAGGTCATTAGAATAAAGGAAATGATAATCAACCGAAGAGCCTCTTGATTGTCAAACAAATTCTCCTTGCCAGCACATTAGGAAATTTATAGAGAACAGTATGGAGAATATGCATACTGATGTTAGGGTGTAAAGGGTTAAACGATCTGGCCATTTACCTCCGTATTTCCTTTTTAATTTTGAAAAACGGTGCGATCGTGTTATTTAGGTTTGCTGAGCGGTACCACGAGATCACCAATCTGGAAAATTATCGTTTCGCTACTATTGAGAGGCAAACATGCAATAACAAGATAAAAGACTAAAATTGTGATTTTTATCAACATCTTCGTTGGTATTGTTCTTCGTTTGTCGATGTAGGAGGTTTATAAAGTTTTTTTGCATCTTCTCAACGATCACGCTTTATTGTTGAAAAAAATTAAATCAACCACAATTTTTCGTCGTCTATATTACTTTGGCATGGAAATTGCAACAAAGACTACAACAAGTCACTTTTAATAATTCATCCCCTACCTACAGTTACAATAGTCTCAATATCACCAAAAAATGTAAATGAAGGGTAAATGACAGCTCGAAATAGCTTTAATTAGTTAAAATGCTAGATTGCCAATTAAATACATATTTTTTTTTCTGTTTATATATTTTTATGTTAGTTGAAATAAAGAGCTTACTATGTAAGTACAATAAGTGCACTCAATAAAAAATGGGTAAATGAAATTTGGAGAAAAATAGAAGACAAAGTACATATGGTTACAGACATCAAGATTATATGAGCTAATTATTGTCTGCGCTTAAAGGAGGATAAGGATATCCAATTGCGTCAAGTTTTGCATTTAAGCACCGGCTGCACCCTTGTGATTTAATTTGGTTTAGTTTAATGGTAACATCCCCACACTACCAGGTTAATTTCGGAACGTCTTAGAAAATCGGTGACCGGGAAAGTGAGGCGAATATCGGCGATATATTTGCGTCTCTCTATAGAAGGATAAAAGGATTTTCTACGAGATGCCTCTCTAATGCTAATGCTTATGCCTTCGATGCCCTCTTTTGGTGGTCTCTCTTACTCCATACTCCATACTTGAAAAATGAAGACAAAATAAGTAGCAGACCTCTCTTTATCATGTAAAGCATTCCATTTGTTAAACATATTAAACAGTGAATCAACAGATTTCTTCCAAAGAAAAAAAGAAGATTACAGAACCCATTCCTTCTCCTTGAGACCTGCAAAAAAATAACCACGAAAGATAAGTACAGTGTAAGACAGTGAAGAAAGCGTAGAAAAGTCTACATAAAAAAACCAAATGTCATAGCTTCAAATGACGTAATGATTTATATTCTGAATAATTTGTTTCCAACAGTTTTTTTAATTAAAGTAAGCATTTAGATGTTACTATTTTCATAATCATAAGAGAAAGCCGATTGATTAGCGGGTAATGAACCAATTTATTATTCAAAAGAAACGTGGAAAATAAACGCAGGTCTTAAGAGGAAATATCGACCTGAAAAGCTGAGCGAAGGTTCCGCACCTGAGATTGCTGTTGCAAATTACTCTGTCTGGGACAGAAACTGACCAAACACAATCTACCTAAATATGTCACTCTTTGCCAGTTGCAGCTTTATTCTGAAATTTGCTTTACTTTTCTACCCGTATATCGTGAACCCTAAAGGATTAACGTTGGTCAGATCTTCTAGCCAGTTACACTTCTTCCCAATCTGTAAATTCCACAGACCCAAAGCCATTTACTCTACAGTATACCATAATCTAATCGCTCGCAGATAAAAATAACAGAGAACTGTATCCCTTTGTATTTATGAGTCTAGCCAACCGATTCAATCCTTACCAATGATATGTTTGGCTCCAAAGAAAAGGGGAATATTTCAACAGGTTAAATTTCCAATGCAAGATACAGGAGAACTTACCAGTATTGCATTCCAGCGGGTGTATTCTTTCACATCCAGTGCAGGAGAGTCCTCAGTTATAATTATCTTACCGTTTACTCAAAATCGATGACAATTATTTTTATATCAATGAACGACAACAAAGGGAACCTTCCAAATTGTAAAGGGTGTGTCCCTCTCCCTCGGTTTTCGTATTTGTTTTATTTTTGTTAGTATGTTTGTTTGTAGATTCCTTTGTTTGTTTGGTTTTCTCTTGATATATTTGTTTTTCACTATCATTTGCTTAGTTTCTTGATTGTTAGTTTTTTGTATGTTTTTGTTTTCGTTTTTGTTTATACGTTTGCCTGTGTTTTTCGTTTGTTTGTTTTTTTCTAGTTTTTAATGTTTTCTTGTCTCTTCTATCATGTGAGTGCATTTCTTAGTGAAAAAAAAATTATGTCTTGCCGGTTCAGAAATGTGTCATTTGTTGTGTCCCGCGCTGCAACAGCCATCGAAGTTCAAAAATAAAATATATTGATATGGTAGCAATCTTAGTTACTACAAAATTCCATCCATGGCAACAGTTTGGACAAGTTAGCATTAAAAATCAAGTCACAAATCGATCTTTGATTTCAAAATTTCTGCATGAGTGAGACGTTCATTATCTTCGTGATCTATTTTTTGAGTATAGTTATTTCAATTTGCATTATCGTTTTTTTTTAATTGTTACTGAGGACTAGTTTGAAGTTGGCCGAACAACGGATGTCGGCATATCGGGCACGTTCGGCTGCGAAAAAAAAATACATTACAGAGGTTACTACCAAACAAAGGATCAAATTCATTTTCAAGGAAAAAACCAGCCATCTATGGTGGCCAGTAAGTGCTATTCTAATTGAGAGTAAGATGTATTTTAAGCACTGGTGTAGAAGTTTCAAACACGAGTCCAAAGTCATAAGTATAGATCCAAAGTTAGTACGAGGGATCCAAAGTCAGAACTTTGGATCCACAGTTATGACTTTTACATCAATTTCTATTCTTTCCACACATTTTGAATGGCACTTACAGGCCACCCAAGCTATCACAGGAAAACAGAAACTAGAGAGAAAACATCACGAAGAAATCAAGAGCACAAATTAATGACAAAAAGGCAAATCATATGCACTTGTAGAATACACTACGAACTACGATGCTTCTATTCTTCATATATTTTAGGTTGTTTAAACAACAACAAAGGTGCCTTGCAGATACGATTTTTAAAATTGTACCAGTGAAGCAGTTTTGAAGGAAAATTAAGTGGCTCCCCTTTCCCATGAACTTGACTATAAATCATGCAAATATTGAAACAAAAAAATTGGCTTTTCAACCTCTGCATTGTTAAGTTGTTTTCGCAGTAACTTTCCAGGCCAATGGCACCAAGTGATAGGATCTGCCCTGGGATACCCAGGAGGTGTTCAATGAATACAAGACGTTTCAACAAGTGTACTTACACCCCATTTTGTATCATTGCAATTGCACAGTCTTTGTGAACCTTGTGAGAGCAGGGTAGAATTTGACAGCCACTGAAGGCATCCTGTAAACAACGTAAAAAAAAGATCATAAGGGCGTTAAAAGATTGACGAGAAGATAAATTTAAAGAATTACGATCTCCTTAAGCAGTAGGAAGAAGTTATAAAGAAAAAAAAAAAAAAAAAGTAAATGAAAACATATCGCATAACAAAAAATCGTTTGAGCACATGTGATCACGAATATGTTTGTTCACGCCATAAACAGAAAGACTTCACCTCCAGACAAATGCAGCATTCATCGTGTCCCGAATCAGGTCTGCACTTATGTTTTCCTTCAAGACGTTTGTCCAGGCATACATTACAAACATCACAGTGGAAGGATCTGTCGCTATGGATTCTATTCAAATAAATAAGAAGTAATGCAGAAAAAAAAATTTTTTTTTGTTCTGTAATGAATAGGAAACCTACCCTCACCAGAACAACTACACTCACTAGGTTAATGCTACTCCCTCTATACCAGATGGAAACTGTGGCAAAGCAAATAATCCTTCCCCGGCAATTCTTCAGGTTTCCCCTTCAAATTGCCTCAACATAGTTATTCGCTTGCACTAAGAAAGGAAAATTCTTCGTCAAAGACTGTATCTAAAAGACAGAAGCTTGTGTAGGAGGTTAGTGCGTTCGAGGCCGACAAAAGTTATTACTTCTTAAGACTATGTAAAAGATCTCGAACTATTTCAAGGCTGAATTCATAATGTATTGAAACATTCTGAAGTAATTGAACATGGCCGGGGCATAATATCTAACCTGCAGATCCCACACTTCGTGCAATGGAAAGGATTCTTGTCCACCGACGTGAAGTGTTTACATGTTGCACAGAAATATTCAGACATTTTCGAGTTGCAGGAGCCGCACCTCTGGCTATTTTCATCGATCTGAAATGCATGGAGAATTTCATTCAAATAAGAGATAGAAAATCACTCCAGCAGTCAATTTCTAATATTTCTCTTAACATGACCATTTGACAGCATCTGTAAGAACTTTGCGATGTTGCTGTATGTCTCGTCTCAGAAAAAGCGAGAGAGGAAAACTTATTTTCTGTTCTCATATAAAATCTCACCACTTGTTCGTTGTAGCAGATAGTACAGCGTATATGTGTGGCATTGATTGCTCTTGCCTGATCCTCAGTACAATCAGACTCGTTGTGGCAACGATGGCAAGGGAAGAACTTTCCACAGCAGGGAAACCGGACCAAGCATCGGCGTTGATAATGACTGCAAACAGGGCGTGGAGTCTCCTGTACAGGTGTGGCTATGGATTGTTGCTCACGATCAGCTCCTAAAGTGGACTCATTGACTTGTGTAAAGACCTCTTGATTACTTGATTCGTTGATAGGTGATGGAATGGACACCTCTTGCTCTCTAAAATCTCTTGCATTTTCTTGTATGCCCCCCTTTTCGACTGACTGGAGTCTGCGTTGAGCCTTGTTTGCGGGAGTGACGCTCGACGCGACAAGCTGGACAGTTTGGGCCATTATTTGTTGCAAAGATCCAAGAAGAGAACCTGAAGAATGCTTTATAAATGAAACCTCGTCATCAGCACTAGTGGAAATTTGGGCAAGTCCACAGTCAATGTTTTTCGTACTGCTGTCATATTTGTTCACCGTCGATTTCACACCATTGACAGCATCTCGTGAATAAGGGCTGTTAAATAATGACTTGGGCTCAGAAATTACAGGTTCCTCTTCGTCAACACAATGTCGCCTTAGCACCAGTGACAAATCTTCATCACACACACGAGATGGCAAACTAGGGCGTTCTGTCTGACTCATAGGCGATAACTGAGGCATGAAACGGTTTTTTTTCATAAAGAGGTCTCTCTGAGGGCAACTTATCCTACCTTCATCAGAGACATGGCATGATTGACAATATCCTTCTTCGCAAGATGCATCTTTTTCTGCGAAGGAGAAACTCCCATGATCTTTAGGTAAAAGGAAATATTGGTCGTGATCGTTCTGCTGATGACCTTCAACTGAAGCGTGATCACAGTTATCAGCATTGATAGAGAAATCCGGATTGCTATCATGGTTAATGTGACGCGCTACAAAAATAGGATATGACTTTGAATTGGTCTTTGTGGGTATAATCATACCTTTCCCCGTGGCATTTAATTTTCGTTTTGGCCTTGCTCCCCCATGATCATTGCATGTATCAGGTCTCCTTTCCCCTTCAGTGAAATTGGGAATCGTTTTTCTTCTTGCTTCCTCAAAAGAACTTAGTTGTATGCGTTTTGCTTGAAAGCTGTCTGAGGATCTCATGGCTGGATGGCTTTGATGAGCTTCTAAGATATCCTCAAATTTAGGTTCGGGTCCATAGGCCATCGTAGTGGCTTCCATATAGTTTTCTTGTGTTTTTCTAGAAAAATCGAATGCACCTATCGATTTTTCAACCACATAGATTTCGCTTGCCTTTGTTCTAAAAATTTCAGCAGTTTCATTCTTATCAGAGTCTTGAAAATCATTATTCGAGTGAATGGGGAAATCATTTTCTGGAGACCTTTCAGATGAGTTACTGTTTTCGTTTTCCAGCAGCTTAGATTTTAGTTGTTCTTCTGGATTTGAAGAGTCTTGGGAATTGATAAAGGAATGAACTCCCGATAGCCAATCTCTCTCAAGTTGTTTTCTTTGAGCCTCGCAGTCATTTGAGCTAGGATCGGTGTCCCAGGCATGCGTCGATTCTTGGCTTCGTTCCTCAGCTTGAACGTTTGGAAGCCTCAAATTACTGAAGGTACCGTCATCTTGGTAAGGGTATCGAAAAGAAGCGTCATGGTAAACTGGCTTCATAACTGAGGATGCTCTTGAGGAGCGAGGCAAGTAATGCTTCCCAAACCTTTCTTGTCTGTTGGAACTCTCTCGTTCAAAATCGAATGACCTCAAGGGTCCATCCACAACGTCAGTGTGTTCTAAAACCAAGTAATTGACTGATTGTCTTTGGCTTCTTGTGGTTTCGCTCTCATCGATAGCTTTAAAATTTCCATTAATGACTCTTGATTCTTCATCTTCTAAAGAAATGTGTCCATCCTTCAGACGCTTACTTTTTGATAGTATTTCAAGACTAGTGGGGTCTTGTGCATTACTTATAGATGGGGCTGGCGATTCTGGATCTTTAGTAAGTTTAAGTACCGTCGGAGCGCCTTCATCGATTTTTGCTACTTCATTTGCTTCGAAGGAGTTACACCCCCTTTCCACGTAGAACTTGGAACTTTGGTTTTCTTCTTTAGCTTGATGTTGAAAGTACGGAATCCCAAGATAATTGACACTACCGTCATTGGCGTTTTGGCTTTCTTTAAGACTGAACATACAACTTGTGTATGACCTGTTTGAATCGATCGACACTCCATCACCACTTTGTTCAAAGTTAAAGGAGCTCTCTTTAAATTCCGATTTTCTTTTGTTCAAACTTCCCTGAAGGTCAGCCATAAATAAGCGTCTCGATTTTCTATCTCTTTCAAACAAATGCCTACCCATCCAGGTTTCATCGCCGGCTTCTGCTCTTTGCGTGGAATTTTCTTCACGCGTCTGTGGGCTCGATTCAATTGGGGCACAACAGGGAGCCGTCAAAGCTGGACAGTGGCTTTTGGGACCATCATCTGATGTTGTTTCTGATTGCTGCGAGTTTTCAGAGATAGGATCCTGGTATAACTGACCTCGGAGAAAAGTAGAATGTCCTCCATCTAGGTCCACTAAACTTACATCCTTATCTTCTTTAGGAATGCGTTCCTGGTCTGTCTGAGTTTGAGATCCAATATCTGTGAATCCTTTGTCATCTTCAATAAGACCCAGACTTACATTGTCATCATCTTGAACTGGAGATGGCTCTTCGTCAAGCAATCGAGATATCTCATGAACTTCAATAAGGCACTGTGCAACACTGTTTTTGAGGCTGCTTTTTGAATCGTTGTCTGAGCTCTTGAGTTCCGGCGGGACCTGACGTGAAGAAATCATGAAATCAATAATATCTCTCACATAAAACGGGCGCGAATTATAAAGCTCAGAGAGCAGATGAAACCAAAAACTCGTCAAGAAAGTAAAAACGTCATTTAGATTAGCTTTTCAAAAATATACTGCGCATAAATTTTCGACCTTTTCTCGCGAACAAAAATGAACGATAATCTAGGACGTTTCCTTTAAAAAATTAGGATAGACATTTAAGTGAAAAGACTATTTGATACTTTCATTTAACCTTTTCAATTTAAGCATAGGTTCATGTGTGCATCTTAACTGATTTCTCTGTGGCTAGCATTTCTTTTCTCGTCAGTAGCATCCTGCAAGATGTCAGTAAAAGCACTCACCTTATTGTTCTGTGCGACTGGGTTATCCAGGTGGTCTTCTAGGTGAATTCCTGATTGGTACGCAACTTGATACTTCTTTGCTAAGGTATCGATGCCAAGCCAAGATATCACATCGGCCACTCTTTTAGGGCATGAAGCTTCGAAGTAGTGTTGAGTATTACATCCTTTCATCGCAAGAGTTGCTGCTGTCTTTTTCACTGTTGTTGTTGCCACGAACTTGATTCTTCGCTTAATCGACCTCTCGTCACGTGATAACATCAGACGTGCTTTCACTGGTTGACGAATCGCTATGGATATGCTATGACTTTGTACCGCTAGTGTTAACGTTTTGTCGGAGCGGCACTCCCGAAGAAGGTTTAAAACAGTAGTTTTAAACATGTAACTGCTTGTTTGCTCATCTGCAAAGATCATGCACTTAGCCTCTTGCCACGTTGAGGTTTGAATCTCAAAAATGCTTTGTTCTTGCGAAATTCCGACTTGAAAATCTTCCGTCAAACAAAGAGGAAGGAGCTCAATACGACTGCCATATGACATGATGCTACAGTGGCCATACGCTGCTGTTAAGGTTAGGTCAACAATTACTCGGGTTCCACCGTCTTCATGTTCACTTTCAAAACACTTTAGCTGAAAACATTCGTTGACTGCAAGTGAGATACTCCTCTTCAATACCAGAAGTTCATCGATATCAAGAATGACAGGCGAGCTGCAGGTAACCAGAAACCCATTCGACGAGGTATTCGTCTTGTAAGACAAACTTCTGAAAACCTTTTCTTCAGGAGTAGGGCATTCAGCGATGCTTTCTTTCGGACCAATTGCTGAGGAAACCAGAATATCTTGGAATGCAGTCTCCCCATTGCAAGTTACTAACGTTTTCGAAGCAAAAACTTGAATGCCATCATTGAGCAGAAAATGAAACTCGTTTTCGTATGGTGAAAGTTTTGTATAAAGGTCGTATGCTGCAAAGGTTGTGTCAATCTCTTTCAATTCAATGGACATCATAATGAGGAAAATTACGAACAGCTGCAGGTTGAACTGATGGTCAAACTCTGTGTTTGTTGCATCTCTTGTGGTTTGTTTGACGTTACTCCTTTTTTCATTTTCCTCGATTTCTTTGCTGAACTCTTTTAAAGTGTTGTTCACATCTCGGTCGGCTGTCAGTTCACCAGAATGTTTCTTTAGGAGTAAGCTATGCATCCGAATTAGCTCTGCATTTGAATGACCCTGTTTTGAACGATGTTCCTCACAATGCGCCCCTGCTTGCTCGAAAAATGCAGCAGCTTCCTCTTTCTTTCCCTGCCGGAGCAGTTTCTGTCCAGTCTGCAAAAAGTCAACGGCACATTTCTGAGAAATCATTACCTTTGAGGCGAAACATTCACTTCCGAGTCTTTCTCCAGAAAGCAGATTTTTGCCTGTCCTGGATCCTCTGAAATGAGGGTTGTTTTCTTGCAGTAACACGGCTAATGCTTGTCCATGCTCAGCAACCAGACCTTCAATCATCATTTCAGACACTTCACTTCTTGGAGACTTTTTGGGGTTTTTCGTAATCTCCATGTACGTTATGGACAATTCATTCACAAATGAAACTTGGTACAGGACCTCTAAGCTTTCAACTGCTCGTTGGAAGTACAGGTGTGATTCTTCTTTGTGCTTCAATCTCGATTTAAGCTCACCAAGAGACATGTAGCATTTGATGAGGAGAGGATTCCTTTGACCAAACATCATTTCCAATATGTCAGCAGAGGATTTAAATTTCCCAGCAGCACTTGTTAGGTTTCCCGTGAGGCTCAGAATAGAACCTTGCTTGAACAACAGCGAGGCAAGGTCTAAATGATCAGATCCGAAACTCGTTTTGATAATTTCCACGGTTTTTTCTAATAGATTCAGGGCAATTTGGATTTTTCCTCGACGGATAAACACCTCCACTAACTTTTCAAATGCCTCAATTCTTACATTCATGTAAAGGCCACCAAACATGTCAACAAGATTTGTGAAGGAAGTGGAAGATAATTTCTCAAGGCTAAATTCTTCCTCGGCCTCCCTGATTTTTCCTTGTAAGAGCAGTACTTCGCAAAGATGTAGACGAACAAAATTGAGAAGGTGATTACAGTCCTCTCTCTCCGTCCTATGGCAATAAGATTTTAGGTATTTTAAAGCTTTTTCTGCTTCGTTAAAGTTACCAAAAGAAGTATACAAAACCGCCCGATTACTCATCATCATAAATGAAGTTTGAAAAGGTAATTCGTTAATCTCTCTAGCTTCACAGTCATTCTTTAGCTGCTCTTGTAGCTCGAGGGCTTCATTAAAATTCCTAGATATCAGATGCAGGCGGCTAATGTTGCTATACACTGCAACAGACTTAGTATCCGTGGACGAACGTTCCAGTTGTCGTAGCTTTCTGGATTCCACATAGCTCAGTGATTTCTTAAATTCTTCGGTTGCCGAGCGAAAATCTCCTTTAACAAGTGAAATACATCCTTTGTTGTTGTAAGCAGCTCCTAGGTCTTGTAAAGGGGAATTAGAGGAGGCTAATTGATGATGAAAATCTACCAGCAGTTCAAATGTTTCATGAGCAATTTCGAGCTCTGAGATTAACAATGCGAACGCCCCCAGAACGTTTAATACGCTCAAGTAAAACTCTTCCACACGGATACTTGAGTCATTGGGTGAGGATACTTGATTGATCGGAGAACTTCTGATTTTCTCCTGAAGGTATTTTTGCCCGGCATAACTTGAATCTAACAGTAACGTTCCGTGTTTGATTGAGCAACTGACGCCACCCTCGAGGAAAAGCTCCTTTCCCCAAGTTAAAACTTCCCATAGCCGGCCATCCTCGTTTGGCACCTCAAGATCCTGTAGCTGAATATTTAACAATACTACGAAAAGAGATCTTAGAGCATTTCGCGCATCAGCAATTTGATCACTTTGATGGTAATTGATGGCCCTATCTAGTGCCAGCACAATTTTGTCAATCACTTTACAATTTTCTTTCGCTAGATACACATCTTTTGATTGCAATCTATTCATTTTCTTCTCGCCAACAGATCTACCTTGCAGTCGAACGTCACGTGCACCTGCAAACTCCTCGCTCCGTTCATCCTTACAAAACTTTTTATTGGGTTGTGTTCGGTTGAATTTCCCTTCAACTCCATCTAGGTGTCCTTTTTCTCGATTTCTATGGATTATTTCAGTGCTCTTCTCTGCAAAAAGATATACAGACTGAAATGAGTTCTGAGATAATTCTAAGACCTACATCGATGCTATGAGCTAGTCTAGATAGATAGATAACTTTAGTTACACATGGTGGAAATACCTTCAGCACAATGTAAGAAAATAAAATGCTTAATTTTGCTTAACTCACTAATAATTAATATAGTGCTGTAAGAATCAAGGATAGCCGTGGAGTTAACGTTTAAATTCGCTTAAAGAAACTGTTGATTGGAGTTCATTTGAAAGACTGTTCCATAACATAGCACCTCTATAGGAAAAACGTATCTTTAAGGAATTGGTGTGGGGTTGTGGAAGAGCCAATTTATTCTCTGAATTCCTCATTTGGTACGAAGTAAAATCATTTCGAGATATAAATCGGGATTGTCTACAATGATCACCAACGAAATTTGACTGCCTCCCTAAACAATTTATCCTTTAATTGCTTTAAGCAAGACAGGGGTCTATGCGAACAAACTCAGTTTATCACAATTCCTTCTCCTCTGAGATTATCCTTCACTTTACCTCCATAGAGATATTCAGAAACAGAACTTTACAATATGGTATGGAGAAAATTTTCAAATGGTTGAACGCTCCTTTAAGAAGAGCAAGAATCTTAAATATAATGATTATAGCCACCTTGAAAATAAAGGTCTCTAGAAAATATGGCACCTGCTAAATTCGTAGTTTTTATTATTTATTTTAACATATGTATTTTTCGTCGATTGATATTTTCTAGATTATCGCCACAAGGTTCAGCACCACGCCTAACATGGTCTCGACGTTGTGACAGTCAAATAATTTGTTATGATGATAGCGCTCTCACGACTCACCTGATTTCGAAGAGATACGAGCAACACACTTCTTTTTTAAGCATTTTAATTCAGTTACCACAGCTCTTATTGTAAGTTCCAGTCGTGTTGCCTCTAATTTTCCTGTAAAAGATTTTTTTGATAATTATTTGTATAGGTAACCACACGGTAGGGCTCGTGCAATTTTTGGTCTTGAAAAAATTAACATGTGCTTATTTATTCCAAATTGCACGAGAAAAATCATGTGATTACGTGTTAATAATATACATGAAAAAATACGAGATAGCTTATCATAATTAAGCAGAAGCAAAGCGTGCGCATCAAGTGCAAAAATAATTTATTCAAACCTTGCGTTCGGTCAAAACAACCGCTACATGATCAAAACAATAATATATAATGATATCTTCACATCTTTAAGGGGCAAGAAATTCAAAGTCCGGCTAAATAGTTCAAGGAATTGTTCAGTCTGTGTCCGAATCACTTTCGATGAAATGGAATCGTCGTTTCCGAGGTTTAACCATGTTTGTTTTTAATTTCGGCGTGTGATCGCTCGAGCAAAGTGTTAAGCTGGGTGGGCCCGTAATTTTCGATTTCCTTGGCCTTTCCCTTCTCTAAACACCACTTTTTCCAAACCGAAAACCAAAAAGGAGTGCTTTTTACAGTGTTTCGTTGTTAGAGCTGTTTTTCAGCTGCGGTGGTGAAAGAAACTCTACTTAAAACGCTGACCACTGTCTCGCTCGCAAAATTTTCAAATTTTGTTGCGACATCCAAGCCTCGCATTTGATTGGCTATCTCTGAGTTTCTTTGATTATTGACCAGTCAGAATGTCTGATTTATTTCTTTCTTTGCACTGAATTAACCCTCTTCTGCACTGAATTAACTCTCTTCTGCACAGAATTACCTGAAAACTGCATTTATCTTAACCAATCAGAACTGAGTAATTTTTTCATGTATATTATTATATAAGATATATGGTTAGAAATAAGAGTGATGCACCTAAAGATAAAAGACACACCAACAAAGAACAAAATATGAAAGAAAAGCCGTTTGAGATTAAAAATGAGTTGCCTATCTCATAAATTGTGATTTCCCCACCGCTTTGCAAATTTACTTAAATCTGTATCTCAAAATTTACATCTTGTCTTAGAATGCACTTTTTTTTTCATAAGAATCTTTTTTATGAGAATTTTCAAGCTGAGATTAACCAAAATTTTAAGAACATCCTGAGAACATACCCAGGCTGAGAGTCAGTTAAGACCGTCTTCATTTTGCTCATTTCTTTTGGTGAGAAGCATAAATAAAGGGAAAAGAAACGTAAAACCGCGGTCTAACAGAACTATTAACTCAAACACTTGAGGACATAATTTTTAACATCAACAATGCATTTTTCTTATTGCACGATAAACTGATGAACACCTCAATTTGTTGTCGAACTTAGTCTGTACTAACTGATAGGTTTCCTGGTCATATCCAAGTTGGTTTATTGAAATACTATAGCAAACAACTCTAAGAACGTTGTTAGGTTCAAATCGCAAAGAAAAAAATTAACAACGTTAAGCCTTCGCCCCCAATAAGACGTTCTCATAAAAAAACAAAAGGAGTGTAGCTCACTGGATCTGTTAAGACAGAGGTCTGATCGAACCTACCTTCTGCTCTGCCCTCTCTTTTTTTGATGGTGTCATCATCCTGAAACCAATTTTTTAAAAGCTCTCGATAGTGTTTCTCAAAATGAGCGTCCATGCATTCTGTCTTGATACTATTAATAGCATTTTGGTAACAAGTTCCTCCCAATCTCACCAGTACATCAGTAATATCCTTCCAGTAAAGGTTGAATGTTTTGTCATCAACAGCGGCCCTCCTGGCATAACTGTAAACTGTGTCTCTGAAGTACGTAATGCGAACAATATCTGCTTCAGTGGTTGTGTTTTCTGTAGGAGGAGGAAGATCCCAACCAGAAGTAGGAGGAACAAGACCACAAATATTCTTCAGCAGAACCATTACCAGAGTGATATCAAAATGCTGCGATGATACAAGCGATTGGGGATACAATTTTCCCCACTGATGAGTATTCAGAACTTGTTTCTTTCTAAGTGACAGTAGTACGGAATGAATTGGTTTACGTGATAAAAATGTTCCTAGTTTTTCTGGTCGATGAATCTTGTCGAACGTAGTTCTCAGGACCTGAGATCCCAGATCTACCAATAGGCGACATAATCGTGCATAATTAGTTGTTTCTTTCGTAGAGCGGAATGAAGTCGTTGCTTCTGAGGCCATGATTGGTAAATTTCTGAAAAATTTAAAATTAGACTTTTTAAATCTTATGAGCAGTAAAAATGTGGATTTCCCGAGTATTCAATCACTGAGCTTATTGGGACTAAACTGTATCCTGCGGCTTGCATATATAATCTATGCAATTTTGCTACTAATAAAACACGGCCAAGACAGGGCAGCGAAAGATACACAGTCACTGCAAATCCTTTAATAGTTCATTTCACAGTTGCATCCTTGGTTGCCAAGCCTTTGAACAGCAGTGAGGCTAAAGGTGACCTTGTAATGATATAAACCTTGCTGCTTTTCAAATGTAAATTACTCCGTTATCAAGCTAATTAGCAAGTGGTCTCAATTACAACATGGTCAACTTCAGCCTCACTTCAACTCAAAGGCTTGACAACTAAGTACACGACTGTAAAATGGCCTATTACTTCCCGGGGCCTTTAATTCTAATTACGATAAGGATTGTTTTGATAAAATTTGACAAAGTGAAATACGACAACTAATAAATCCTGGCGATAAAAATTAACAGCTTATTATTTGTCACGCTCGTCCAGCCCATAATGATTTTATCATGGCGATTCTGCGAAATGAAGAAGGAAGTAATCATGTGTAGACAGTTTATTGTGGTTATATCAACCAAATATCCTGTCAGTCGACCGATGAAAATAAAACTTCTTTGCAGCAGTCTCAGCTTCCCCAGCTGAAACTGTGAAACTGTTAAATATGCATTTTAACACGCATTCTGAGCCGCATTGATGAGTCAGTTTCCCTAAATATTGACAAGCATAACTGGTAGTTCATGAGCTGCTTGAGTAAAACCAGGAAAACGGCCGATTGTCGAAAGCAAGAAGCAAATTTACTAGCAAAGAAACTTATCTTTTTCTTTACCATGCCACTCACGGCAAAATTACATCAAAACAACAAGTTTAACAAGTTGAGTTAAACATGCATGCAATGTGTACAGTAACACGCGGCATTCATCAAATGGAAATCATTAAGTTTGTACCTGATTTCGACGTGAACAGAAGCCGAAATTGGGAAATCAAACAAAAATTACCTCAACTTCAGCCAGTAGGCGAACAAAATCGTTTTCCAACCATGTTACTGAACTGATTCTTCTGTCTTCGCATCGAGACCAAAGTGTCTTATAAGGAAATAAATGTGGGGTTGTTCGTTACGTCATATTATTTGATTAACAAGGAAGTTCCATGCATGTATATAAATATCATGTGATCAATATCCCGTGACGTAAATCACTTAAAATGTTTTAGCGTCATTAAATAAATTTAGAAAAACAAAAGAGATGCTATAATTACACCCCGTCAGAAAAAGAGCAGCTAATTAGTGAACATATAGAAGGACTTCTTGTGGCAGCGATAGGATCACCTCTGATGAAGGCACTAGACAGGAGTGTCGAAACGTTGGGTCTATGAATTGTAACTTCTCGGTTACATTCATTAAATCTTTAAACCAGAGTAGCATCAAACCATGTCTGATTGTCCACCTGGTTGCCTTGTCAACTTCACTTTATCGAATTTCAGTTATTTAGGTTTAAACTATGGCGATGAGTTTCCAAATTGTGACTTTCTTGTCTAACTTCCATTAGTGGACGTGTTTAGTTTGTCTACTAACCTTGCTTTGAAAGCACACGAAAGTTGATCGGAAGCATGAAGTCCGTTGTCCTTCATTTAAGAGATACTTGTAAAAGTATTCGGATCAGAGTTCTGACAACAAAGGTTTAATCTTCT